GGCTGTCTCACTCACTTTGTTGGCAAATAAGGCTTGAGCATCTCCCTTGAGCGAAAACGCTAGCAATCGCATTCATATGTTGGGAAAACAGTCAATCTGAACTCAAATAGACTGGTTTGTACAAAAAACAGTATATTGCAAATAACTTGTTATAAGGAGCAAGCTAACGACTATAAGAAATGACTGCAAGAAATAATTGCAAGAAGTTTTCTGAGATGCATTTTAGGCTAATCTAAAGGGTGTGGTCGCAAAAATTTTCTCTTTCCATTTTGCCTCAGAGCCTCTGAAACCTCACAGCGGCCTTCCAGCCATATTTGCCCTTCAATTCTTCTAAAATTTCGTAGATTAGAGGACATTTTATATGCTGAAATTATTGTTATGACTGAGGAGCTCAAAAGTAACCGCAGTTCATTTTTGCAGATTTCCTTAAAATTGGCTTTCCGCAAAAAGATGCTCATGGATTCACCCAAAAACGCGAACTCTAGGAATATTAGTTTCCGCAAACTTTATTTCTTTATACTTTCATGCCATCATTTGCTCTTACTTGTTATCATTAAGTGTGTATATGATCATCTATTTCATTGTTAATGAATTTTCTATGGAGAAATAATCATCAAAAAAGTATAATTGGTCACTTTTTTCTGAACGCCCCCCCCCCCCAAACAAAATTGTCTAGGCACATCACTGGCTTTTACTTGCAGAAGTTCATTCAGCTTTTTACAGTTGCACATTAAAAAACTAAAGATGTGATTTCGAATGATGAGTCAATTAGAGAGAGGACAACGCTTTCCTCTGTCCTTCTAATCACATAGATAACAATCTAACTTTAGTTTTAAGGGCCCTGTTTAAAATAGTAAGAGCACGTTTAAGTCTGGAAAATGAGTGAAAAAACACAAGGTCAATGTATCTCCCACAACGAGCGAATTGTTATGATGAATATTACATTCAAGATTGCAACCAATTAGAGCATGAATCCTGTTTAATATAAGCATTATCAGTTAATTGTTAATTCTAAACATATTGTACATGACTTTCTTGCTGACGTGATAACTTATCATCTAGAATTTCGGGTATTTATCACATCATATCATAACATATCATATTATAGGCAGCATAATGGATACCCTACCCTTTAAGCCCTACCAATTTATTGTTACGTGACAAATGGATGCGAGACAGCTATTCCCTTACCAGTTGCATATCGAACCTAAAAAACTTTGGCAGAGATAATTGACTACAATACGTAAAATCTTTAATTATTCACAAAGGACACGCTGGCTCGGGGGCAAGGGCACTACAGCCCCCTATAAAGCATTATATTTGTCAAAAGTTATCGGAAATTTTACCACATTGTCAGAAATTCTAGGAAAATTTATCTTGAGCCAACAAAAATTTTCTCTTCAATTTGGGCCCTTAATTGATTTTCTTCACATCTTGCAACGAAGCAAGAGGGAAAATAGTACTTCACTCGTGTGACAAATACACTGGATACTATGGTTTTTCTCTCTTGAAATCATTGCGTCGCCGATATTTCATAATAAAAACTTTTATGATTATTAGAGCCACCGGTTTTCTAGTACCCCGCGTACCAGAGTCTAGGAACTTTGGACAACGGTGAATCTAGCCCTAAAAATCTGAGGGGGGGGGGGGGGGGGGGCTAACGCTATCTATTACTTTGTGAACTAAGTAAAATGTAAAGCAGTGGCGTGGTGGCTCAAAATTAGCTACAAGGCGCCGATTTTTAGCGCCCCCTAGATAAGTATGTCCTTGATACAGCTCTATCCATGCTTTCATCATTATGCCAAATAGTTTTATAAGTGGCATAACGAGCAGCTGCGTCCCCTAAGAGAAATAACAAAACTTATTTATTATCTAACTAAAGGTAACTTTGGTTCGTTACGCCACTGAGTTTTATCTGTTTAACAATAATGCATGAACATTAGAATTTCAACAGAAGAACTTCTAAAAATAAAAGGCTAACAGCTTTGTAAAGTTGATTGATAAAGTTGTTCCATATGTCTTATACCCAACCTCCATGAGATCAAGCAAATCATTCTGTTACACAGAACTTCAAATCATAGAATTTCAATGAGCAATAGTAGATTGCCAAGGTGTACTGGGATAGTGTTGGTATTTCCCTGCGCTGGGTTCCAGAGTGAAAAGGGTTTTCAATGGGATGCAGAGAATCTTGGTTTGGGCTTACCCTGCGCACCCCATCCCAAAAAGTAGGGAGATGACGGTGGAAGGATTGAGCAACGAAAAAGTCTGTCTGAAGCCTAAGTCAAAATTACGAATGGTTTACAAAATAATTTCGATAGGTTTTCTTCTGGGCAAAATACATCAAGCAGACGTTTGCATTATTTTGAGGTGAGAAGGAAAAGCAGTCTCACAATTTTTGTAGACGATTGTAGCTTGTTTAATACAAGTAATAAAGATTGCATTGAGCAAAATAGAGAGAGCAACCCTAACAAAGTCAAAAAACGATTGAACAGCTTTGGAAGAAAACATTGAATTTTTAATATGAAACTTTTGAAAAAACTAGGGGGCCAAACAAAGGGCAAAGAAAATTTCTGGGGGGCCGTGCCCCCTGGCCCCCCGTAGAAACGCCACTGACTTTGGAAATTGGGAAAAGTCGTCTCCATTTTCCTCCAGATTTCTTGAGTTCTTGTACGAGGAAAGTTATCTAGCTATACAGTTTTTTAAACGCAATAAAATGCAGCCTTTTTATGATTGCAGTAACAGGCTAGTGCTGGCAGTGTGGAAACATACTTTCAACACGAGACAGGCCTCTTCTTCATCACGTCGCGTGGCTTTATGTGAAATGTATCTTGAATCTTGATTTCAATTCTATTTAAAGAATACTAATCGGTCCTTAAGACAAAATTTGCCAAAGATTTATTTTGAAAATCCATGGAACACATCATAGAATGTCCATTTTAATTGATTTTTCTGAAGCTGGATTATGACAAACATGAAAAACTAGCGTCCATTGTCTACATAGGGAACCGACTAAGTGGTTTATTGACCAGAAATTTTCTGCAAAGTAGTTCAAGAAAGGGATTTTGTAAGAAAGGGATGAATCCACGCCAAATGACCCAGGCCCAGGCA